GTTTGGAAAAATGTACGTACAATATATATATATATATTTCAAAGGAATATATAAATAAATACATTAGAAATTCTTATTACACATCTCTGTCTTTATTCGTTTCTTTAATTCTCTTCGGAGACGGATTAGGAGAATTCAAACAAACCAGGTAACTGTGTTAAATTCCGTAAGAGGAGTAGGCGGATTTGAGCGAGTCAATTACTAACCTGTAAAATAAGCCGGCATGTCCACTCCAGCGGTCGAGTTGATTTATAATAGCTACACATCACATGCCTTCCACTACTACAGCTTTATAGCGCCTTCCCCTTCTCCGTTGAATCGTAAAACATCAATCTAAACATACGTTATGATTGCGTTTTAACTGCTGCTTTTAATGCAAGTCGTGCTTTATGACGTGTTAAGGAGCTATTTCGTTCATGGCGCATGACGAAAGCGGTTCTTTTTTTCTTTTTTTTTTTCCTTTTCTTCTCATCCCTCCCACTTACCACGCCCCGCTTATGCTAAGGGAAGATGGCCAGTTCATACCCTTTCGATAAACCGACTTTATTTATGGTATCGGTACCGATATGTAATGGGTTGTGCGTGATTCTGCTCGTCCGGCCGTAAAGCCAATTTGCGACGCTTTTTCCACCGATGCTTTGATACTGATAAACGTCAGTCCGAATACGTTTTCGGAATCGAATCGATTATATATTATACTATTACATAATATAATTTTGCTACTGATGCTATTGTTTTTTATTTATTTATATTAATGCATTAAAAAAAAATACTCTCTTCCCGAACACTGAAGTAATTAAATAATATCCCTCTAGCAGTTTTAAAGTTACTGTGGCCTATAATTAATAGCGAGGTTGCGGCCGAAGTTTTCATCTCTAAAACGTGAACGTCGAACGTCAAGCGACGCTTACAAGATAGCGGCTCTTGACGTTCGACGTTAACGTTTTAGAGATGAAAACTTCGGCCGCAACCTCTCTAATAACTGAGTTCAAAATTAAAGTAGGTTAAGAGTGTTTCTGGAATCTATTAATTTGTGTAATAACGCTTCATATTTCTTACATCGTCTATCTTTACACATGTAAGTTTTTTTTTAAATATATGAACTTGTATGTAATTATATTCAGTCTTAAATTGATTTTTGATACTCGCAAAGAAATGAGCAAAGCGTAAATTTCTAACAACACTAGTTCCTTAATAAGTGTATTAAAGTTTTTGTAGTTGTTTTCAATTTATGTATTATCTTTACAACAATTACTCAAATCTTAAAAAAATTTATCAACGTGTTGCTTGAGTGTAGACTCTAACTTTTCAAACGTGAGAAGGGTCTGTTGTTTCTCATTGTTTCGCTCTCTCGAATACATTAGCGAAGATAAATCAAATCAGTAAGAGAACATTAGTAGCAACATTCTTAAAAGAGTGGTTAAAAGTTAGAGATTTGGAAGTTGTGAAAATCTCTACGTAGAAATATGTTAAAAATTGCAGTTAATCGAGGATTAGCATCATAATTTTAAATATATTCATCTTTTTTTTTAAAAAAAAAGAATATATATATTTTTCTTATTAGCTGTCAGATCTGAATTCATAGCATTGATGCTAGTAGCTAGGCGTTGATATAAACGAATTGTTCTATCTATCTCCTTAAGCCTTGACAAATGATCAGGAAAACTTTGGACATTAAATCTTAGGAGATGAGAAAGAACTCCGCATCAAAAAATCATTAAAATCTAATGAGAGATCAGTTTAAACAAGGTAACTGCTGTAAAACTTTTACGGTAATAGTACTGTAAGCTCGAGGTAATTTAGAATTGAGAAGCTTTTTTTTTTTAATAAATAATTCGGGAGGACCTGCTGAAAAATGTCATGAAAGATTTATTTCCTGTTACATGATGTATAAATTTGTCTTTACTTTTTACATTAAAGTTAGCCTATATTCAGACGGAACTGTTTTCTTTTTGAGACGTTAATTGAGGAATTTTCAGATAAAAGATTTTCTTCTAACTTGCCAATTCATCTATTTTCCGTGAATTTTTTTTTTCTTCTCTTCACTTTATTTTACCTTTAGTTTGTAACATTCAAGCAATGCGGGATATAGTTCAGAAAAGGGAAAAGTAAAGAGATTTTATGAAATATTTATTGCCAGCTCTTTTCCTTTGTTCATTAGTATAAATATAATATGTGCATATACGAATAACCTTTGAAAGATCTAAGTGATCCAATAATGCAATATACATTATCTAGTCTATTCAGAAAAAGATATATAAATATCTAAGTATATATAGTCTATATATTGCATACACCGAATAGACGAAACCTTTATGGAAAATGAAAATTGTGGATTATAATGGGACAGATTGAATTCTTCATTGGCAGTGCAGATGAGGAAATTAGAGACTTAAAGGATCGAATTTGAAAGGTAAATAAAAAGCCCGTATTTTCACGCCTTTTTGTGAAATCCATTCTACCAGATAACACGAGCATACGATCTTTTGAACCGAGATCATCCATGGTTTTAGAATTCCTGATTTAGCAGTCATCCGTTACATTTTACGAAGGAAATTGAATTTCACTCTTTTTTTATAAATAAAGCGGGATGTGAAGTAGCTGAAGAGGGGTGAAAATATGCGAGGTGGACAATTATGTTCAGGCCTAAAATGTAATTTTTTCAGATCTTCAAATTTCTTTCTTAGTTTTAGTACTAAAACTACGCTAGTAAATACTTAGCCTTTATCTATATACAGTAGACCCCCCTATAACACTGTAGATAATTCCATGTTGTACGAGTCACTTAGATTTTACAAATACGTGTGCCAGGCTGTGAACGACTCACGTATTTGTAAAATCTAAGTGACTCTTACAACATGGAATTCATATAAAACGGAATTATCAACAGTATTATAGGGGGTCGACTGTATAATGTGTGCGTTTGTGTCATACACGAAAATAGGAACCTTTTAACTTTGAAATCTAAATCAAGCCGATAGAGTTGTTATTTTGATTTTCTAATGTCTTCTAGGTACGACCCGTATTTGCTCCTGGGAACATGCAAAAACAAATTTCTTTGTCTTATTTTATGAATTATATTTTGCCGTAAACATATAAGAAAATGATAGAGATATGTCGTATCCATTTCTTATTTTCTTACAGAAGAATGATTATATTTTCTTCATCTTTCCGACCGTTCTTATTTGTGACAAATAAGATATTAAAATTCGGTGTAAAAATTTAGTCAAAAGTTTTAGATCTAAAAATAATTTTCTCCAAACCATAAGAAATCTTTCGATGAATAAAGTATAAAGAGTTCTCTGAAAAATTTATATTTTAATCCTTAATATTTTATGCACATTTTTATATGTAGCTTAGTAAATTAACCTTTTACTGTCTGCCGACTTGAAAGATGAGGTGAATAAATTGTGTAAATTTTATGCAGCTTTGTCAAAACACACGACCGTCTAATCAGAGTTACTAGGATGGTCATTTTAACTACCGAGATAGCTGACTTATAAACAACCTAACATGCTGTAGATGCGAGCTGACAAATAATTTAGTATGACGGCTTTTACATTTTTATATATTAATTAATCTTTTAAGTATTTTTGTAGTAAATTTATACGAGATTTTAAAGACTGGAGAGCGAGCCTCTTTCACTTTTACAAGCGTACAATTTAGTGTGGTCGTAAAACGTTGTTAGGTTAGAACAGGCAGGTAAAAAAAAAAAAAGAAAAAACTTTTAACTCTGACTTCTAGACTGTAAAAATCAACCTTTAAAGACAATGCTAATGTGTAATTCGATTTTAAGAATTCAGTTTCTACGAAAAAGTTTGGTAGTTTGGTGCTTCAGTTTTGCTGGTCATTTTATGTAGAAGAAAAAGTGATGCTTAATAGTTTTTGAGTGGCTTAATGTCCCTCTTAAAAATAAACGACTTTGGTCAAATTAATACCGAAATGAAGCGGAAAACTTTTTGAACAAGTTTCCGAATAGATATCGAATCCTTTTAGTAAGAAATTTAACACCTAGAGTAATATTTTTATATTGTTTTTTTTTTTTTTATTTTCTGGGACAGGTGTGAACTTTCCAATTGATAGCACGTTTTTCATTCTGACCTTCTTTTCAAGATTAAATGAAACCTTTCTAAAAATGGAAAGAAACATTTGACAATGCTTTACTATGAACTAAGCAGACACTAAATATTTTCAATATTTAATGATTTATTAATAAAAAGCCATACAAAAATCAATGAAGTATCTTTAAGCTTTTTCTTGTGATTTATTTAATATATTGATTTTGAATCACAACTGGGTAGTATTTATTCATTTTCCCACCAATCTGAATGTTATTAATATTAACATTTTAAAGATGGATTCATGAAATCAATGTTTAACTTATCAAATATTTAATCTACTCTTTGAAGAAATCATTGCTAAATTTCTAAATCGCTATTCTTGTTTCTATTCACTCTTGGCTTTTTCCTTTGCAAAATACTAGGATATTGCTAAAAACAATGAAAGGAGGAAAATGGTTGATTGCTAAGTTGTTAATTGGAGAAGAAAACAGAATTTCTACTATGTTTAATTCATATTTTGTTAAGATGTCGACCGATATCGCTAATGGTTCACTGAATAATTAGCATTGAACTAACTTTCCTCTTAGCAAAATGGAAAGTGGTGTCATATATTGGTGCCAATGTTTTTCATTAACAACAATGCAGCATGATCGTTAGGGCGGTCGTTTTCTGACCTCAGATCTTTTCCACCCACATTGATTGTCTTACAATCCAATTTCACTTTATTTATTCATTTTTTTCAGACCATCTTTCTTCCATTGAAAAATTTCTCAACGATGCTATTATCGGGATGAATATATTTTGAAAATTATGATAAGCTGTAATATAAATCATTATTAACTCCTTTTCTTTTTGAAAATTAAATCCTTTATCATTCTTATAAACAAAGAGTTTATAAATAAGGAGATAATTTAAATAAAAGAATATTTTTATTTACACACAAAAATTGATCTTTCTAGGCACAGCTGATGGAGAAGAGGTTGGCTGAAGCAACTTGGAATGCTAGCCAACATGGAGATTCTTGCAATGTTGGTTCTAATATAGAAAAACTGACAAATCTACATTCTGAAAAAGATGATGCTATCAATACATTAGAGCAACAAGTGGAAGAACAGGTGAGTGTTTTCAAATAACATTAGTGTGGAGAATATCTCTCGAGATCGTTCACATTTTATAAAGATCCAGCACAAACTTCCCATACTGCACGAAATTTCTTTGTTCTCCTGTGGGTTGTAAAAACTTTTGTTGGTGATCAATACACTCTATATGTTCAACTTGGGCATTTTCTTCGACTAAAGAAATTGAGTTTGGGATATAGAGAAAAGATAAAATAAACAGATCCAAAACCATGTTTTTCTATTATATTTACTTCTACTTTATTTATANTTGTAAAAACTTTTGTTGGTGATCAATACACTCTATATGTTCAACTTGGGCATTTTCTTCGACTAAAGAAATTGAGTTTGGGATATAGAGAAAAGATAAAATAAACAGATCCAAAACCATGTTTTTCTATTATATTTACTTCTACTTTATTTATATTGTATTTAAATATAAAATTGTTTAAAATGTTTTATTTCTGATAAAGTATTTTATATATAAAAAAATAATAAAAAAAATATTGTTTATTAAATTTTATAATTATTAATTTATGAATTAATATAATTAATAATAATAAAATTTAATTGTATCAAGAACTGTCAAGAGTAAAAACTGTTTAAGGAAATGATAAGTATAAGTCTGAGGTATAAATTATCTTGTTCTTTGCACATATCTCTCTCATAAATTCACCAGACTCATGAATTGTAGAGATGGAATAATTGACAGTTGCAAACATTTCCTGCATGCAAATGACTCCATATAAGCAGGATTGGCATACGTAATGTTCAGTTTGGATCTTTTCTCTTGTGCTTAATGTTATTGACAGAAAAAAATTTTTTGTAATAGACTTGTTGACTTTCTTCAGCTTTCCAGTGACAGAAGAATGAATCAGCAAGATGTGAGGTGACTGTTGAGAAACCAATTTAGTTTCCCCACAGGACTGACCTCTTCTGATTGTTGTGTCTAGTTAGTGTTTGTCTAACAATAGCAGATAGTTGTAAAAAATTGTTGTATTATAATTAAATAATTTTTGAATCAATACAGTTTTAGCTTAATGTTTAATGAAGACCAATCAATTAATCTTCAAATTTATTTTATATTTAAATTAAAATGATTTAATTTGAAAAAAAAATATATTTTCTTACCGACATTGCTTATTATATTTTACTATTTAAATACATCTAGCATTATATTAAATCTGCTTAATATATTAAATAGATTTAAATTTAGATTTATTTAATAGAAAATGATAAATTTTGTTTAATCAGAAAAAATTAAGGATTCAGGATGCAAGACAAGTTGAAGCTAAGGCTGCTAAAATCAAAGAATGGGTGACAAATAAGTTAAAGGAGGTAAAAATGAAATTGTTTTGATTAAATTTTTAAAAATTAATTTAAATTCATAAAATACTTTTTGTCAGCTCAGTCTTTTGTAACTTCATTTTCATTGCATTATATATTCTTTTAATAAAAATATTTATTAAAATTTTTTTTATAGTTTTAATGAAAATCTTATCTATAACTATTAAAATTCAAATTTCATAAAGATTAAAAATTAGATGCCATTCAAGTTTTGTGTATAATTAGTTTATTGCTTATTAATGATATATATATATAAATTATATAAAGTAGAGATAAATACAATTATTTTTTATTTCACATTAAAAACAATTGCATTAATATATTATTATTTCCTTGCAACTCATTTAAGTATTATTAATCAATAAATATAAAGTTTTAAACTGATTAAAAAGAAAATTATTATATAAAAGTAAATTCATGCACAATAATATGAAATACTATCAGTTAAAAAAAAAAAGAAAATTTGAATTTAATATTTTTCTGTTGTTAACTGTTTAAATATTTTTGAGTCAAATCATTACTTAATAGTTTTTAAAATTTTTTAATCATTTGGTGTGGGAAAATTTCCTTTGTTGCAATGTGTTTAAATGACTCTCTTGGTCTCTGTCCTATTTTAATTGGCTTTAAGGATAATAATGATGTCTTTTTTAGAAATATTAAATTCTTTTATTCTTTAAAAGTACTTCCATTCATTTGTAATAATTCATTAAAAATTTTGTTTTAAGCTTGAAGAACAGAATCAGCATCTCAGGCAACAAAATCAGAAATGTAATGAACAACTTGAATTGTTGAAGAACCGTTTGACTCAACTTTCTCAGCTGAGTTCCCGTTCAAAGCCAAGAGATCGAGCAAGCACAGAGGTATAGTGATGGTTTTTTTTGTTTTGCATTAAATATGAAAATATTTTAAAATACTGTATTATTTTATACATGCATATATGAAAGTATATATATACAGTATACAGTATGTAGATATAATTAAGTAATATTTTATAACAGTTTTAAATTAAAAATATACAAATTTACATTGTAAATTGTTTAAAAAAATCACTTTTGAAGTGTTTGAGTTTATTTTGTCAAAATTAACTACTTATTATCTCTAACTATATTTAATATTTAGATTTATATTTAAGGGGCTGTTCGTAAATGACGTCCACACTTGGAGGGAGGGGGTTGAATTTTGTTGGACGTCCAAAGAAGGAAGGGATTATGGAAACTTGAACAAACTGGAACAAGAGGGGAGGGGGAGTAAAAATTTCAAGAAAAATGAGGATATTATGGACAGTCCCTAATGTAAATTACAGTACTCCTATATCTTTATTCTTATATATTTGAATTATTAAGGAAGGACTTTTTGGAATAAGAGCATTTAAAAAAGGAAATTTTGATAAATCTGATGGTATAGTTTATATTTCCATTTAAGAATATGACAAATTATATATACAGTATACATATAAAATTTAAATTATCTACTAAAATTTACTTCTTTAATTGATAGCAAAAACTGTATTTAAGAAAATTCATTCTTGATTCATAACTTGTGGCATTTTCATTAAAAAGTTAAAATACAGTGGGATTACTTTTTAAGATATGTCAGCTAGGAAAACTTTAGATCTAATACTGAAAATATCCAATATTTAATAACTGTGGTTATTAATTACAGCGGTATCTAAGTACTCCAACTACTCCGAACCCAAACAATTCGGGATTTGAACACATGTTTGAGGAAAAATCACTCCGTGCTTGACTGAACAAACATGACCTGCTAGAACAAATTTTAGGTTAATAACAAATATTTTTATTTTTACTTTAATTTTGTCATACATAAAAATTTCCTATGATAAAAATGAGTATCTAATTTAAAACTAAAATGAAGCTTTAAGGTTGCCTATTCCAAGTTGATGAAATGTTTCAACAATAGGTTACATGTCTGTGACACATTACCATTTGTTAACAATTTCTTCCTGCAGTTTTTTCTTCATCGACAGCTTTTGGGTGCCCTTGAGTTCAAAATTTCCCAGAACAGAACTTTTAAAACCTCATTTGACATGTTCAAAGTTTAGTGTATCTCCCATGTACTTGTTACCAATATACAGTAGACCCCCCTATAATGCTGTTGATAATTCCTTGTTATATGAATTCCATATTGTATGAGTCACTTAGATTTTACAAACATGTGTGCCGGGCTGTGAACGGTTCGCATGTTTGTAAAATCTAAGTGACTTGTACATCATGGAATTCATATAACACAGAATTATCAACAGTGTTAAATTTGTATATATATAACAGTTGTATATATACAACTGTAGTTAAATTTGTATATATATAATATTCGTAATATGAGTATTGATTTTACTAAAAAACGTGAAGTAAAAAGTTTAAAAAATAAGCTTTTAAACAAATAATACAGTCTCACACTAGCAATAATGTGTTACATTTCATAACTTACTTCATCTATGTTAAGTAATGATAGCTGTTAAAAATAAAAACTTTCCATTCAACCCTATAAAATTAATTGTATAAAATGCTCAATGAAGTTTTTCTTGACACTAAGAATTTTTATCTACTTTTTAAAATGGTTTTAATTAAAAACATCAATTTAATTTATACTTTTTAAGAAAAGGATTATTTTAACTTTGCGTATCATTTTCTGCACTACTATTTGATTTTAGTATTCTTTAATTGTATTATAAAAATTGTAAATCTTTATATCAATCATCTGATAATTCATAGTATATTCATTAATATAATATTATGATTTATCAAATTTATTGTTTTACACTAAATATTTAATTAATTAATATTTAAATTCAAACATTAATTATATGTTATTGATGTTTAATTAAATTAATATTTAATTAAACATAAAAAGCTTGCATGTAAATATTTGCATATAGTGTTAGAAATTTCAAAATCTATTAATTTATAAAAATATATAAAATTTTCAATATATTTTACATCTTATAATTTATAAAACTAAAACCAGGATTCTTCAAGAGGAAGTTTTGAAGATAGAGGTGAATCTGATGATAGTTTACCACCAGAAATACCTGAAAGAATATCTCCAACAAGCATTCGACGGATTAGACGTGAACATTCTCTTGGAGAAGAAGGCACAACACTTAGGGAAGCAATTCTTCGTGAAGGACATTGTAATGCAGATTCAGATTCGGATCCACTTTATGCAGCTGTTGATTACTCAAAGAAAAAATCTCATACTCGTTCTGCTCCACCTCGTGTGAAATTGGAAAGGAAAAAATATAATGATGGTAATGCATCTATATTGAGTTCTACAGCATCAGAAGAACAGTGTGATTCTGAAGCTGATGTGCGACATGATTCTAGAGTTGATTCTGGTTCGGTTGATGTGGATACACCAGCATGCTTGACTCCAAGAAGCCCATTAACACCTAATGCTCTTGTTTCTATCTCGGATCCCCCAACTAATGGAGATAGTTCGGATGGTACATCTCCACATTCTGATGGTAAGAGAAAACCTGTACCCCCACCACGCTCACGAGTTCCAGCCAAGCCAAAGGCAAATAACTGCTCTAGTTCTCCAGTTGTTTCTCAGGTACAATCACAGCCAATGGTGTCAAATTCAGAAATGAATGGATCTAAACATGGTGCTTCGTCTTCTTCTAGTGACAATTATGATAATGTGGAATGTAAAATATCTAGTCAGAAAAAAAGCAAAGTTGATCAACATTCTTCCAGTGAAAAGAAAAAAATTGTGTGCGCTGATAATGAAATTCATGATTATGCTGAAATATACACACCAAGTCAAGAGCTTCCAAATTTTCCTTCTCGAGAAAATGGTGATGACTTAGAAGGAAAACCACCAACTCCACCACTTCATCGATTTCCTTCTTGGGTAAGTTAAATTCATAATTTCTAAGTAAACCTAAGTAAATAATTGCATATTTTATAAATCAATATATAAATTATAATTAGATTTTTGATATTTTAATCATACTCATAAGTTTTTCAACTTAATAGCATAAACTGTAGTTTACTTTAAATTTTTTTAGATTTGATAATAGATTTATTTTTATTACATCTATATAATAAAGATACTTTGGTCTCATTAACTGACATGTAATAGTTCAGTAGAAGCAGACTTCTTACAGAGAAATGAAATAGTACCTTTGAAAAGGGACATAAAGTATATGACCAGAAAAATCTGAAATCTTAAAAAAGTCATTTTAGGTCCTATGAGATGTAATTTGGGCTCAATTCAAGCTTTGAATGGCACGGTTGGAAAGGTGTAATTAGTATTTAAAATGTTTTGACTGTATATAGGTATAGGTCATTTCATGAACCTTGGCTGGGGGCTGCATATTACCAAAATGAGCTCTGGAGTATTTAAAGTGAGAGAGTGCTGGTGACCTAAAATATGCTTAAGGTCTGGTTAAATTTATTTAATATGTATCAAACAAACAATATTACTAGATTCTAAAATGGGCTATAATATGGTTTATTACAAAGATATGTAATCCTTGCTACTGTAAACCCCAGCAACATTGCCAAGGTTTTTGAAATATACTATACTTACACAGGGTGGTCATAATTAGTTTCCCTATTTAGAGCATTCTGTAACCTTAACCGATAAGCAGATTCACACTAAATTTTGTATGCAAAAGATGATGCAATAAAAGATTTTGCAAGAAAAAAAAATTAATTCAAAAACTTCCACTAGGGGTGCTTTACAGAAAAATACATAAAACAAACAACAAAAATACAATGACAATGCATTTATTTATTCCACAAGGGACATGTCTTCTGCAGAGACTATTTACTTATATAAGGAATGTTGCTCAATGTATGCCCCATTGTTCAAGTGTAAAATTTGAAGGTGAGGAGCAAATGTGTTCATTGTCTGAACAGCTGACAATAACTGCTGTCCAATGATGCTTTTCATGGCAGTGTAATATTATCCTTTAAGTCTGCCAAAGTTGCAACATTTTCTTGATAAAATATATTCTTTAAATGCCTCCACAACCAGAAATTACACAAATTCAGATCCATGTCATTTTCACTGATTTTATTGTAGTGTTTCAAATAACAGATTAAAATGTCACTTTTAGATCAGTTTTCATTATTTACTGTTACGTTTTGTTTATTTTTCTGTGAAGCACTCCAGTTTTTGAATTTTTTTTTAATCCTTTTCTTCATTCTTTGCATATTCTGTATACAAATTTTGGTGTGAATCCATTGGTTACTGTTATAGAGTGTTCTGAATAGGGAACATTTAATTATGATCACCCAGTATTTTTCATAAGTCAACAACTTGCTTAAATCTTCATGCTGTATTTCCTGTAACAATCACCTACTGGACAATTTTTTAAAAATTTTTTGTGGCTGATTATTGAAGTAAAAAAAAATATCGATGATACAAAGAAAAAAAAAGCATGATTCCAAAAAAGATGTAAAATCAATAAAACTAAAGTAAAACTAGTTAAATTAGAATATCTTGACAAATATATAAAAATAACTTTAATAATGTAATTGATTTACCTTAATTAACTTTGTAAATTTTCACAATTACAATATTAGTAACATTGAACATTGATATTGATATTAACCAGTATTCATTTTTATGACTTTGATATTGGAAAATATTGTTTTAATAGTCATTTATTTGATAATATCAAATACCACTAATATACCAATGAGTTTACCTCACAATACAACTCATATGAGGGATTATTTCAAGGGTACATGTATGTGGGAATCATTGGGTTGTGGGATGTTTATATATATACAATATATATACATATACTGTATATTATAGTTATGTGGGCAGTTATCAGTTATTATAGGAAATATGGTATTTTATTTATACCATTGCACTTATAATTTAATTTATAAAATATTAAAAACTTCAAAATGACCAAAAGTATTAGAAAATAGTCTATGTCAAGGAGAGAATCAAAGCACTAAAAACTACAAAATAGTACATTATACTATTTGAATTGTTTTTAAAATACTTTTGCAACCATCTTTTGTATTCATAATAACAAAAATTGAATAATTATAAGAAAGTAATTTAAGAGGCATAAATTATCATTTACTGGTAATAAAATAAAAATATATTTTTTACTATAACATTTTATGAAACATTATATATTCTTCTTACATTATATTTTATTTGTATTATTAATGTTTTTAATGTTTTCTAATATTAGAGATCAGATTTGGTAGCAATTGCTACTTTTTTCTATATATATTTTAAGCAGACATAACTCTAGAACCTTTCTAAATGAATCATATTGTTCTACTTTTTGCAGATTTGTGTTTTGCTATTTTATTACTACTATCTTTTAGACACATTTTGCTGAATTTTTCTTTAGAAACATAAACTTTTATATTCCAAACATACTTTTGCAACAAAAAGAGTTCATGCAATTTACCAATTGATGGCACTAATTTTACTAATTTTCTTAGTGCAAAGTTGGATCTATGGATAGTTTCTACAGAGGAAATAAAGACCAGAGACACACTCCCACTTCTTTATGTGCACCTTCACAAATTCATCCACAAATTCAATATGGTTATAACATATGAATGGACAACTTTCTTAAAAGCAAAATAATATAGAATTGTATTGAATATGCAAAATACAGTTGTTACTTGCTATGCTTGCAGACTCATAACAAAGATGTATAGTGAGAAAAACAACCTCTGTACCTGCAGCAATAAATAAACTATTCAGTAATTTGCTTATAATTGCACTGCTATGTCTGAGCAGTGACCTCACTGAATGTTTGGTCTTTATTTTGATCTATGGTAGACTGCTACCATACCATCTCTATGTAATATTTACTTTATACTATATACCTAGATATAGAGAATTTTAAGCACTAGAAAAAATTTTAAAATAAATGGGTACTTCTCGGCAACCATTGTGCTGTGAATTAATAATGTGTTAATATTACTATTATTTTATATAAGTAAGATGTCCAAGAACTTTAATATCAAAATGCTTATAACAGTGATCAGGCCATTAAAAATTCACATTACAGTTTTCTTATTGATATTAAAAATTTGAACTCATTGAACAAATTGGACTGATCAAAACAGTTCAAAAATGATTGTTTCAAAATCTCCAGAACATAAAATTTATTAGAAAAATATTGGATACAAAATTGCACTAGAGTATAATGCAGTACTATATGATGTATGATTAAATATGGATCCAAATATCATTGCTGTATTTAATTGCACCTCTAGCAATAGGTGATGTTGAGAGATCATTTTCATTACATAATTGATATTGTGAATGAAAAATGTAATAGATTTACTGAAAAAATGTGATATAATATATGTATATAATGATATTCTCTTTCTCTCCATAATAGTAACTTTAACATAAATTAATACAGTAGTATAAAGTAAATTATAATAAAAAGTTTAGATATTAATACTATATGTCATATTATACAGAGTGCTTCAAAAAATATTATCCATATTGTATGGATGGATGTAATGTGGCAGGTTAATCTCTGCATAGTTGTCCACTGTGTGCAAGAACTCACAACTAACTGGGGTGTTCTCTAAGAGGTAGAACCCTATTATCTCTGCTGCTGTAACTGCTGCTTTCTCTGTATAAGTGTTAACGTTTTTTGAAGCACTCTATATAATACTATTTATTATATTAAACATAAAATAAATAAAAGTTAAAACAATAAAGGAATTACAGAGGTTTAATTCAATATTCAGTGCTTTCTAATATATGTGAACAATAAAGATTTATTTTTGAATTTGCTACGTTTTGCTACTTTTGAAATTTTTACTACTACTTTTATGCTTTTTAGTGGCTACAAAATTTTATCTCTAATAATAATAATAATTATTATTATATTATTATTATTTTTTTATTTTTTATTTTAATAAAAAGAATTGGTAACATTTTTATTGTTGTTGTCAAAGATATTACATTATGTGTTTTCAATGAGATCCTATGTTATTAATTAGAATTGTGTATTTTTTATTTTTGTCTTATACTATTCTTAGTAATTTTTTTTTCCTTGTTTTTGAATAGCTGATATTAGTTTACTATCTATCCATAAACAATAATCTATATCAGGCTTGGCCAACCTGTGTTCCCTGAGCCACACAGGGTCTACTGGCCCTTTTTAATGACCTGCTGACAATTCTTACTTGCACTATGTTCAATTAAATATCTTGAAACATAAAGCTTGTTTCACATTATTAAAATGGGTACTGTACTGTACATCATCATTGATACTTTCAATAAACTGTTTAAATTTTAACACATGATAACCACATGTATGAATAAAATATAATTAATTGCATTGCAGCATCTTAGAGTTGCCAATGTGAATGACTTTTAACAAAGAATGGTATATAGGGTAAACAAATGAATTATGAAGTGTCAATATGGCTTGTGCAATGATTTCAGTTTGATAGAACTGATCTACATATTAAAGAAAAATAAATAAAATATTGGGGTAAGTCATATTTCATGAAAAAACAAAAATGAAATNATTGTTTATTAAATTTTATAATTATTAATTTATGAATTAATATAATTAATAATAATAAAATTTAATTGTATCAAGAACTGTCAAGAGTAAAAACTGTTTAAGGAAATGATAAGTATAAGTCTGAGGTATAAATTATCTTGTTCTTTGCACATATCTCTCTCATAAATTCACCAGACTCATGAATTGTAGAGATGGAATAATTGACAGTTGCAAACATTTCCTGCATGCAAATGACTCCATATAAGCAGGATTGGCATACGTAATGTTCAGTTTGGATCTTTTCTCTTGTGCTTAATGTTATTGACAGAAAAAAATTTTTTGTAATAGACTTGTTGACTTTCTTCAGCTTTCCAGTGACAGAAGAATGAATCAGCAAGATGTGAGGTGACTGTTGAGAAACCAATTTAGTTTCCCCACAGGACTGACCTCTTCTGATTGTTGTGTCTAGTTAGTGTTTGTCTAACAATAGCAGATAGTTGTAAAAAATTGTTGTATTATAATTAAATAATTTTTGAATCAATACAGTTTTAGCTTAATGTTTAATGAAGACCAATC